GGTTTTAATGTTGTGCCCGATTAGTGTATAATAGGTTACCCACCAAGAAAGTAATTAAATTAAAGTTTACAAGACATAGATTAGAGGGACAATGTGTTTAATTGTTTTTATTTTTTGGACCTCCATCTTGATTTATTTTTTATTCTAAATTTTAGAAAACAGTGTACAACACTATTTAAATTACACACATAATTTAGATTACATTACAAATGTTTCTGTTGTTCAGTAAACTCTTTAACCGGAAGTAAAGGTAAAACAAAACCCTTACTCCATCTATGTAACAAGGCCTCCCTACCAATGAAGTCAACTATGTCCCCCAAAGGGAAATTCAGGTAATCTAGTCTACAGCCATGCATCTGATAATCATTCTAGATGCATGCGATCAGAGTTTTATGATGCATTAAAAAGTGACCTTTCTCATAACCCTGTGTTATGCATCTAGCATGAAGTGTTGAAAATTCTCACATATAACTGACAGTCAAGTTGCAATCCTGACACTTAACAAAGGATTCTGGGTAAAGCGTGGGCATTCATAACTATTGAAGTAGCTGAACCATGAAACGTTTTTACTGTTTTGTACTTTAAAAAAAAAAAAAAAAAAAAGTTGATTAATGAATATGGGAAAGTAGTAATAATAAGAGTTAAGCTTTTATATGAGAAAATACAAGTAAAATCCATCTCTGTACAGTAGGATATTCCATCACCCATTTCTCAAATCTTTTACTAATGTACGGTTGGGTGAAAGCTCTATATTTTGTGTTGAAGGGAAGAGGGAGCCAGCTGTCTCTATATATATATGTATATTATTCCTCTGCAGATGATGGTGCGCTGGAAATGAAGAATTAAATAAAGAATTAGCAGATTTCCTGCTAAGGCCATTAAACTGAAACAGAGGAGAAGGCAAAGATATTAAAAGTAGATAGGGTGACACGATTTCTCCAGACACCATATATGCATTTTGATAACCAATTAAATATAAAAACAGCTGGCTTAAACTTCTCCACTAGCTATTTCTTTGAATTTCCCATTAAAGTGGGCTATTTTTCATGTCCATACGAGTTTGTCATTTACGTTCAATAACAGGTTAAATTATTAATTTAATTGGAACCCAGTACTCCACCACACCAGTATTATTATTTATAAAATATTTTACCAGGAAAGATACATTGAGAGTTCTCTCGCTTTCAAGTATGTCCAGGGCCCACAAAAATTGCATTGATACAATAGGGTACAATAAAATAGAAAAACAATATTAATACACAATGTATACAAAATTTAACATATTCATCTCTCCGTTATAGTTGGTTGGTCTGGACACAGAAACATAACGAACTATATTTTTAAATTGATTGCACATAATTACCCAACTACATTACTTTATTAATGATTTATTTATGCTTTTTAACACTAAGGATTTTTTTTCTGTCCTAGAAAGTCCTGTCTTACAAAATAAGCAATTACGAAATGATGCTGTCGTTTTTTTAATATGCAACATTGAGCATATTCTCTCTAATTTTGAACCTTTTATGATTTTGAAAAAATGGCAAAATATGGATATTTTTTTCAGTATGTTTTTTTTTTGTTGAAAAATAAAATGGTTTGACCCCTTAAGGACCAAACTTCTGGAATAAAAGGGAATCATGACATGTAACACATGTCACGTGTCCTTAAGGGGTTAGCAAAAATGTAAAATTAGGTAGCAATAAGTGCTCCATTAACTAAAAATACTTAGCACAAACACGATTGCTTGTCCCGGAACTCTCCCCAGTACTTATATCTAGCAAAACAGTTTCTCTGAAACTCCAATGGTTTACATCACAGGGTTAAGGGGACAGTTCACCCAAACCACTTCAATGAAATGAAGTGGCCTGGGTGCCTATTGTGTCACTTTAACCTCTGTGAAAGGATCTTGGCATGTAGTATAATGTAAGAATTTAAAAGGTATACTGGTTGTAAACTGGAAAACAAACTTTTGTCTTTATTGCATGCAGCTATAATATTTGACATTATTAGGAGTATTATTTGTATAAAATAGTTTTAACAGTAATGAGGAACTATTCGGTTTTTTATTTTATTCATTTTTTCCTTTTAGTATTCTGGTCTTTGGGGTTGCTGCCAATCTGAGACAGAGCTGATCTCTGCTGTTCTTGCAAGATTGGAATAGAGCATGTTTATACACATTTCCTCAACAAATAGAATTAGGAAAGTCTCATTTCCTCAACATTTTAACATTTACACATAACCACCAACATATGTCTTTCTAAACCACGAGCAGCAGATTTAAAATTCAGATTCTGCAAATAAGGAATTAAAAAACCTATTGTAAATACATGACTGTCTCTTTGTCTTGTCCATTTATAAAATGCGTTGAGGGATTTTGGTCAATGTTATGACTAATAGCTGACGAAGCATGAAAGGTATAAGTGATTTTCCTCTTGTAGAATTCCAGTTTTTATACGCACTTTTACTCTAAATAACATGTTTGGAGCATTCATTTTTTTTCCTTGGAGTCCTTTGAGCTTCCTTTTTTTTCTTCATTGTTTAGCTGAGTCCATTTAAAGCGGTTGCACGCACCTGGGAACATTAATTGAAAATGAGAAAAGGGAAATCAGATGCTATCGTCCCAAATCTCAAGTTTTTTCATGGGGTCAGTTTTAACAAGTCCCTTTGAGTCCCTTTAAGGTTGTATTTATATAGCCTTACTTTATAAATGTATTATTTTAACAGACAGATGATGGTTTCAGATCTTTAAAAACTCAGTGAAATCTCAACCCATGCAGTTTGAGCTAACTGATTATTGAGGAGGACTGTGATCTAGGGCTGCCTGATGTTGATGGGAATTACATCCCAAGCTTCACTTTGAGTGGCCCTATATGGTACATGACTAATCTGAAAGCAGGTCAGTCCACTTTATGTGGCTTCTTTGCTTACAAACTCCATGAACATGGCCAGCTTTTTACTTGCCATTATATATATTTTTAAAGTTATTACATTTATTCTTACATAAGCTTTGCTAATTTAAATATCAGAGGTAAAAACACAAAAGTGTTACACTTTGACAGTCGTATAGTGCGTATTGTCCTGTTAGATCAGATATGGTGTGATACATATTGAATGTACACATTATAGATCACAATATTTATCAATCTATTACTAGTGTTGGCCTATGACAAGAATATATGCACAATTTTAAACTAGATGGCACTAGTTGTGTTTCAGCTCAGTGGCTGACAGGATGCAAAGAGATTGTGAACTTGAGGACAGTTTACAAAAGGCAATGACCAGAGCCGTGTTAAGGAGACTGAGAGCTGTGTGGGGAGGGGCTGAATGTGTCTTTGTGTGTTGGTTAGGTGTTTTGTGTGTGGAGAAGTCTGAGTGGATTGTGTTTGTAGGGTAGTCTCAGTGTGACTGGGTGTTGTGTGTGTATTTTCTGTCCACCCTTTCTGTTTACCAGCCCTGGTGGTCCAGTGGAGGCTGAGCTGGGTCCTTGGTGGTCCAGTGAGGGTACTTCATTGTCTGCATCAATATCAGGAACTTATATTGCTACAGACCAAAATGCTCCCTCCCCTCAAAAATGTGGTGTGCAGGAAGATTATTTGGTCTCTATGCTGGCTCAAGAAGTGCCCCCACAAAGTGGGAGCTCCAAGCCCAATCATGGACCCACATCTAAGGCCAGCTCTAGGTGGCCACCTTGGCTGCCTAATGGGTAATCCAGCTCTGGCAATTACATTTTCCTGGTGCATTTTGTTTTTGCAGGGATATTTCTTTTGCATGGCCAGTGTGTCCATTAGTTAATTACTGGTGCAGTTATATGGAGTTCGCCAATGAAATATATTTTTTTTGGCATTTGAAATAGAGTTTAGAGGATATCACTGCGTCATTGCATACTAAACTCTTAAATACTCTTTATATCTGAGCAGACGAAACATTTTCTAAGACAGAGCAGGAAAAAGTGAAAAGAAAAAACTGTTCTCTTAAACTGCTGTAGATTGACATCTGAATTTCAATTACCGCAGCATTGTCAGCGCACAAAATCATATGTGTTTGTGAATTCTCTTTAATCTTGGAGCATTCTACTATATGCTACTGCTAAATGTATAACGTTTTAATTTCAAGATTCCTATTATGGGTCGCCTGGTTCAAAATGTGTAAGGATTTTCCACTTTCCCTTTGCATTTCCTTAGCTTGTGACATTGTAGAGCAATAAAATAAAATAAAATGAACATTGCAAGTCCTAAAACCACCAGCTGTGGTGCAAGAAGCTCCCAGTCTGTTTCCTTTCATCTTGTTCCTTTCAGCTTCCCTCATACAACTAAAAGATCTTGGATGGGAACTATACACACTGGGATGCTCATGTTGTACAACTGTGCAAATCCCAAATTACTGTGTTTTTCCAACTATAAGATGCATACATATTTCAACTGGAAATTTAGAAGAAAAAGGGTAAAACAACAATACCATAATTTGTTTGTTTAGCCAATGATGGGCACAGTGTGAGGTTTTAAGGGAGATAGTGTGTGTGTACATGGTTACTGAAGTGTGTGAAGTATGTGTGATTATTGATTGGAGTGAGGATATATGGTGGTCCGTTCTTGAGTGACTCGAGTCTGCACCTCCACTGGAGTGCAGACTAAGTATGCTCTCTCGCCAACCCTGGCACTGTGTAATATCTGAATGTTGCTGTGGTAACCAGCGGCAACGGTCTGAATGGCTGGGGCTCACAGGAGGAATACTCTCAGACTGTATCTCCCTTACCCCCTTGCACACCAGAAGGCTACATTGGTCTAGTGAGGGTGATCTTAGATCTCCCCACCAGGCATGCCAATGACTTTGTGTATATTTGTATATACACTTACTATATATATATATATATAGTGGATTGGATTAGCCGTATAAGTCCAGTAGACAAGATGCCAAAATACCAGAGTATTACAGTATGCAATGATACCTTTTTTATAGGACTAACATAATATTTAAAATACAAGCTTTTGAGAGTTTTCCTCTCTTCCTCAGGCCTGAAGCAATACTGGAAATCTGGCAGTATCTACAGTATTGCTTCAGACCTGAGTAAGAGAGGAAAACTCTCGAAAGCTTGTCTTTGAAATACAGTATTATGGTAGTCCAATAAAAAGGTATCTTTGCATACTAATATTCTGGTATTTTGGCATCTTATATATATATGTAAAAAACAAACAAAACAAAAACACCCAACAAGAAAACATAGTTAAAGGGACTCTCCTGTGCCAGGAAAACAAACAGTTTTCCTGGCACTGCAGGTCCCCTCTCCCTTAAAGAAGATAACTTTAAGCTATCCCAAGTTGCTGAAGGGGCTGAAACTCCTTCAGTGACTTATCTGTATCCAGTGCCAATGTCCCTCGGCGCTGGTTCAGGGTCACGCGCATTAGACCTCCCCATAGGAAAGCATTGAAAAATGCTTTCAATGCTTTCCTATGGGGATTTCAGCTACGCTGGAGGTCCTCACATAGCGTGAGGACGTCCAGCGAAGCTATAGCACACGCAATGTGTGCTATCACAAGGAAGTGCCCTCTAGTGGCTGTCTAGAGGAGTTAACCCTGCAAGGTAATTATTGCCGTTTATGAAAACTGCAATAATTACACGAGCAGGGATAAGGATAGTGGGAGTTGACACCCAGACCACTCCAATGGGCAGAAGTGGTCTGGATGCCTGGAGTGTCCCTTTAATAACACCAGTTGATTGTGGTGTGCTGGAACCATCAGTGCAGTAGGCCTGTAATAAAGAAGGCCAACCTTAGAAGTTGTTGTGAAAAAAGGGAGTGGTAACTCGCCAGACCAACAACGGTAAAGTGGGAGAGGATTGGAAGCCCTTATAAAGGGGACCCAAGCCCCTCCCACAACTACAGGCCCAGTCTTAAATTTGTGGTCAGGGCAATATTGCCGTGATGGTAAGATAACATATAATTCGTATACAAGAAAACACAATAACACCAGTCGGTTGTGGTGTGCCAGAACCAACAATGCAGTAGGCCTGTAATAAAGAGGGCAAAAAGAAGTGTACCATACAAAATTTTATACATACTACAAATATCAATTATTTGGACAAATCACAAAATGCTTGCCGTAACTCTTTAACTGGGTTTGGTATGTATAGAGTGTAAGCAGATGATTTCCAGCGTCCCATAGCTTTGATTATATGAGCTGGAATGTGGTTGGAGGAAGCAGATGATGCTGCCCCTATGCGGAAGAAGTGTCCTGAGTAATTATTTGCATTTAGGTCAAGTCTAGTCAATAACATATGGACATAGAACATATATTTAGCAGTAGTGAGAATGGAACCATGTAGTTCTAATAGTAGTTGGTGTGGTTGTTTGTGGAAAGTGTTGAAATATGTATCCAAAACCTTAACAGGGCACCATTTATTATCGGTAGGGAAAAAAGGTATGTCAACCGTGTGTCCCATCTGGTTAGTTTTAGAGTGGTGAAGTGTAAGATGGTTTGTGGATATCGGTTATTATAATGTAGTCTGTGGCCATTACATTACTGGTAGTGAATTCCCTTGGACATAAGAATCCATAAAATGCTAGATAGATGGCTGTTTTAAGTACCATATTGGTCATATGTTCGAACAGAGCTGTATCTAACAACTCTGATAATGCTTGGAATATTTTATTGTGGATGAGTAGTCTTTGAGAGGGTAGATGTGTATCTGTTTTTTATGAATTCCCTTCAGCAATGGTTTTATCTGGTATGATGAAAGGAATCCTGTTTTATTAGGATGTTGTAATATTATGTGGTGTTGGATGCCCGTTAAATAAAGTTTGATTGTGTTAAAAGATAACTTTAAGCTAAGAAGTTAAAAGAACCCCAATATAGTCTCCAAAGCAAACATGTCCTAAACTTGAAATTCCACTGTGAACTTGGTGAAAATGTGAAAGGCCCTACCATAGATTTTCCTAGAGTTAACCACAAGTGCTAGGTGGGAAAGTTTACGTGCATGAGTCAATAAGAAGTCTAATTCAGGACCATATCTTGGAATGAAGGGGCGGGGGTATCCAGCCGGGAAGTGGTGGGCAGAGTCTGAAGGAAGGCCTGAAAGCAAAACCGAGATAAGTGATCAGCTGATATATTTGTGACACCTGGAATGTTAACACAGGTGATGAAAAATTGGCAAGTGGCCGCTACCCATGTGAGCTTCCTTAAGTTTCCTTAAAAACCTTATAATGACCAAAGATGAAGACCGGTCTTTATTTACAATGTGGCAAGTGGCTAGGTTGTCAGAAAAACATCTGACTGAGTGACCAGCCCAGTCTGGCCCCCAGGCAATAGCAGCAGCCACCATTGGGTATAATTCAAACATGGCTGATGTAGTGGAGAAGCTAGTTTGGGACTTAACTTCTCTAGGCCATGGACCCCAAAGCCATTTGTTGCCACAGATAGTGCAAAGCCAGTATTGGCTGCAGCATCTGTCCAGAGTGTAGGAGAATTGTCGGAAAGTGGGGGAATGAACATGGCTTGCCCATTCCAAGATGTGAGAAAAATGCGCCACATAAGTAAGTCAGCTGCTGCGTGTGTGTCTAAAGTGATGCGTAATTCGTCTGAGGGGAGGTCCAGTAACAAAGAAAGTAGATGGGAAATGAAAGATCTACCCTGGGAATGAGCCTCATAGCAAAATTGAACGACCCAAGCAGAGATTGAAGTTCTTTCTGGTTACAAGAACCTTGCTGTAAGTACAGCTCAATGCTCGATAGTGTGCGCTCAATCTTATCCTGGGGAAGACTTGCCTGCATGTGAACTGAGTCTAGTTGAATCCCCAGAAAATGTATAACCATGTCCAGACCTACCTTTTTTTAAGGGAGACCGTTATACCCAGGGATTCGAAAAGAGCATGTGTTTGAGGCTGCTAGGGAGTAGTGAGTTGTCTTGAACCGTGAAGAAGTCATCTAAATAGGGAATTACAGTCGGACATCTATACCCATTAAGTAGCAACCAACACAAGTTCTCAGCTAGGATATCAAATATTTTGGGGCTGCTCTCAGAGCCCAAAGTGAGCCGGGAGAAGAAATAATATATACTTAATGACGTGTACATGGTTTTTGCGTGAGCCCGGAAACAGTAAGCACACACGTATAACAACCTACAGGAACTAAACCCACAAGTGCCCGCATTAAAATTGTTACATATCTGGGACTTGCCCAGGAAGACAATGTCCCTACCCAGCTTATTCTTCAAACCTCTTGTTGATCTTGCAGCGTTAAGGCCTGATTGGCCCTGCTCAACATCCGCTGTATTAGGGCATAGGTTGGTAGAGTGTGCACAAACTGCACAAGCAGAAGTCCTGAGGCCTTAAAAATGTCTGCAGAATAACTCAGTATCCAACTTACTCCAATTTATGCTGTAGTTAAACTGAGTCAGCTCTGCAGCCACTTCTGCAGAAAAGGAACGGTGGTAGTCTTAGAAGGCTGTACTGCTGTATTTGTGCCCCAGATCTTTTCTCAGGATAAAGAGAGCAATACACATCCCTATAAATCCCAAAACCTAACACAAATTCAGGTGTAGACAGTTTTTTATTCAGCCTAGGACCTCTTGCCCTGAGCATCACTGATATGTCCCCATCCGCAAAGGTCCTGTTCTCAAGGACATCCTGGGAGGCAATTAGGAGCGAGACTAGGTTAACATCCTTGCACTCCAGGATATCCTTTTTGAGATTAGCCGGGACCATATGCGATGGGTTGATACTTTCGGGGACCTTAAATGGGGTAAGAGAGTTACCAGGTGTGGCAGCTGAGCCCGATGAATCTGGAATAACGGGCACATTAGAGGAACAGACTGTTACTAATTTCTCCAGTCTATTACTTATTAGTCCAATAGAAGACATTAATGAGGTCATCATAGCATGAACAGCCGGCATCTGGGTCCCTGCATCTGAGTTGTCTGTGTTGGTATTGAGAAGTCTGAATAACTCCTGGCAGTAGCTGGGAAAGGAATACATCTTCTGCGGAGCTCTGCTGTGAGATGTGGAATAGTCCATGATCTTAGAGAAGATGGACTAGTCGCATCGGCTCCATGGGCAGGGATACAGGACCTAGCAGAGGTGCTAGGAAGGGACAGTTCTGCTGGTACTTCGGGAACTTGAGACATACTGAAATATAAATATAAAGTGTAATTACCATAAGTGAGACAACGTAGCCTGATACTGGCTGGCTAGCTAATGCCAAGCGGCGAAAAAATTATACTACCACGGAGAGACAGGTGAGTCCCTGCTAGTCGCCAAGTGGCATGAGAGGCTCTAACTATGCGTTGGCCCGAGGGGTTTGAGTGTTGAATGTTGTGGCGGGGTGTTGGCCTTTCGGTGATAATTAAATAAGAAGATAGTATGGGAGTGACATGTGAGGCCCTCTCTACGCAACCATGCAAGGCAAATAACTATGCTTTGGACCGATAGGCGTATACCTCTGAGTATGAGGGTGGATGTTGGCCTCACGGGACCACTAGCCTATGGCTTAAGACCAGAAAACATAAACTATTTGGACAACCTAGATCCCTAATAGCCAGTACTACCTGCTAACAGGGGTTAAGATATAGGAATTGTAAATGTCGTACCTGAGATAGTTAGAATCAGAAATTATGATTCTTAGCAGAATTAGGGTAAGGAGGGTGGGAGTAGATACGGGCCGCAACCTATAGATGAGACGTAATAAAGCATATAAATATATATATGTGTGTGGACCAGATCGTGGGCCAGATCGTGGACCCGAGTAATAATAGAGTAACCTACTCAAATCCTAGATGCGAGGCGTGAATTTGGCAAATGCTCCCACGAATAGAAGAAACCTTGTAAATGACACAGTCTGGTCTGATAATGGTACCTAAAGACATTTTGAGATATTAACGTAAAACCAGAAGGTATTATTAAATAAGCATAACTTCTAACCAAATTACCAACCTAAAATGACAATTTAGTGGAGTTGTCAAAGCAGGAACAATTCCTCTGACTAATATTCCCAAAAATGCACCTGTGGGTAGAACATCACAATGAAATAAGATGTCAACCAAATGGCATATACCAGAAATAGCAACTCTATATAAAACATAGAAAT